AAGGTTACCTCCCTTGATAAACGTGTTGACTATATCTTAACTAAAGGACAATTTACTTACTGGACGGAGATCAAGGTTACCTCCCTTGATAAACGTGTTGACTATACCTTAACTAAAGGGAGGACAAGTTACTTAATGGACGGAGATCAAGGTTACCTCCCTTGATAAACGTGTTGACTATACCTTAACTAAAGGGAGGACAAGTTACTTAATGGACGGAGATCAAGGTTACCTCCCTTGATAAACGTGTTGACTATACCTTAACTAAAGGGAGGACAAGTTACTTAATGGACGGAGATCAAGGTTACCTCCCTTGATAAACGTGTTGACTATACCTTAACTAAAGGGAGGACAAGTTACTTACTGGACGGAGATCAAGGTTACCTCCCTTGATAAACGTGTTGACTATACCTTAACTAAAGGGAGGACAAGCTACTTACTGGACGGAGATCAAGGTTACCTCCCTTGATAAACGTGTTGACTATACCTTAACTAAAGGGAGGACAAGTTACTTACTGGACGGAGATCAAGGTTACCTCCCTTGATAAACGTGTTGACTATACCTTAACTAAAGGGAGGACAAGTTACTTACTGGACGGAGATCAAGGTTACCTCCCTTGATAAACGTGTTGACTATACCTTAACTAAAGGGAGGACAAGCAAGGTTACTTACTGGACGGAGATCAATGTTACCTCCCTTGATAAACGTGTTGACTATACCTTAACTAAAGGGAGGACAAGTTACTTACTGGACGGAGATCAAGGTTACCTCCCTTGATAAACGTGTTGACTATACCTTAACTAAAGGGAGGACAAGTTACTTACTGGACGGAGATCAAGGTTACCTCCCTTGATAAACGTGTTGACTATACCTTAACTAAAGGGAGGACAAGTTACTTACTGGACGGAGATCAAGGTTACCTCCCTTGATAAACGTGTTGACTATACCTTAACTAAAGGGAGGACAAGTTACTTACTGGACGGAGATCAAGGTTACCTCCCTTGATAAACGTGTTGACTATACCTTAACTAAAGGGAGGACAAGTTACTTACTGGACGGAGATCAAGGTTACCTCCCTTGATAAACGTGTTGACTATACCTTAACTAAAGGGAGGACAAGTTACTTACTGGACGGAGATCAAGGTTACCTCCCTTGATAAACGTGTTGACTATACCTTAACTAAAGGGAGGACAAGTTACTTACTGGACGGAGATCAAGGTTACCTCCCTTGATAAACGTGTTGACTATACCTTAACTAAAGGGAGGACAAGTTACTTAATGGACGGAGATCAAGGTTACCTCCCTTGATAAACGTGTTGACTATACCTTAACTAAAGGGAGGACAAGTTACTTAATGGACGGAGATCAAGGTTACCTCCCTTGATAAACGTGTTGACTATACCTTAACTAAAGGGAGGACAAGTTACTTACTGGACGGAGATCAAGGTTACCTCCCTTGATAAACGTGTTGACTATACCTTAACTAAAGGGAGGACAAGCTACTTACTGGACGGAGATCAAGGAACCTCCCTTGATAAACGTGTTGACTATACCTTAACTAAAGGGAGGACAAGTTACTTACTGGACGGAGATCAAGGTTACCTCCCTTGATAAACGTGTTGACTATACCTTAACTAAAGGGAGGACAAGTTACTTACTGGACGGAGATCAAGGTTACCTCCCTTGATAAACGTGTTGACTATACCTTAACTAAAGGGAGGACAAGTTACTTACTGGACGGAGATCAAGGTTACCTCCCTTGATAAACGTGTTGACTATACCTTAACTAAAGGGAGGACAAGCTACTTACTGGACAGAGATCAAGGTTACCTCCCTTAATAAACGTGTTGACTATACCTTAACTAAAGGGAGGACAAGTTACTTACTGGACGGAGATCAAGGTTACCTCCCTTGATAAATGTGTTGACTATACCTTAACTAAAGGGAGGACAAGTTACTTACTGGACGGAGATCAAGGTTACCTCCCTTGATAAACGTGTTGACTATACCTTAACTAAAGGGAGGACAAGTTACTTACTGGACGGAGATCAAGGTTACCTCCATTGATAAACGTGTTGACTATACCTTAACTAAAGGGAGGACAAGTTACTTACTGGACGGAGATAGAGGTTATCTCCTTGACGAAGATGTTATCAGTACCTAAAGTAAGGGGCAATGTGGCCTCAAACTACTGTTACACTTCCGGTCATTGTACACGAATAAAAGATGAAATTTCAGGTCAGTCAGTACATAATCTTTTCTGAACTTAACTATAACATATGTGTACAATTTTTAAATGATTGGTGTGCAATATCTATTGAAGTGGAGGAATCATTTTCATATCTTTCGCTGTAGCAGGCCACATTTTTTGAGGAGGCTCGAGTAGTGATATTTTGTGAGAAGGCTCGAGTAGTGATATTTTTGCAAATCTGAGTACTCACCTTTATTTTTGAGAGGTTTTGATATTTGAATGAAATACATTTCTTAAATGCAGGTCATGAGATATTTTCCAGCTAGGTGTAGGTCTGACTTGAAAAGTTCTACAACATGGTGAAAAAAACCAGATCCTTTGCAAAGTTTTATAATATCTTATATATCCTTTGGTACATGTAGAACATATAGAGACATTAGCTGCAGTTTAAGGCCATGTACTTACCGGACGAAGGTAGAGGTTACCTCCCTTGACATAGATGTTGCCTGGATCGTTTGTGTAAGCCTGGAATTCATTATTCTACAAAACACGCAATGCAAGATAAATTTCTTAGGCAAAGATTACATTTGAACTGGAACACGAGAAGACAGAGCCAGAGGGAAAAAAAACCCAAAAAAAACATAACAAATAAACAAATGATATAAATAATGGTAGCAGCTGAGTTTATATTTTGTGTTAAGAATTTCATGAAGATCAGACTTTTGAGATATTTGGAATATAAAAGCGCAAGGTAGCTAAATATTACAATGATTATTGAATTATGTACATAACTACGTAGTATTTTTAAGTATAGGTTCTTACCCCTCCACCCCAGGCAGACACTTCAACGGTATATGAACTAGGATTCCAACTGTTAAAATCATCCCGAAAGGCCGCTACAAATAACACTTATTTCATAGTAAGTTTACAACTGTAGTGGTATACTACCACGACTGAAGAACACAGGCTTCTGACAATGTGTTGGAATTCGGAGATCTACTTAGGAAATGAAATGAAACACAGAAGTTTTATTTGATATTTTTAACCAATCATTATACATATTAAGTTTACTTCTGAACAGCAGGAAGTTAAAAGCGCACCATACTTCATCGTGAATAATCGTCTGTGTGATATACACTAATAAATTATCAAACAAATTACGTTTATTTCAGTAAAACACAACGATACAACCAAGTCACTGTCATTCTGAGCATTCCTGTACGGAGTAGGCTAAGTGATTTTAAGAAAAGAAAATTCTTACCTTCTGAGTAAGCTATAAGCACGACAGACAGTAGACGAGGGTCCATTCTGATAAGGAGTGACATAGACTTACTCAGGTCATCTACATACTGATTATAGACTTCCGAGGTCGCGACAGATGGCACAATGTCTTCACCGAGTGGCGTTCCTCACGACCTCATGTTTTAGTGATTCTCATATATGTTGTAATTCCAAACAAATTGATAGTTACTTATCAAAGCGTACATTTCCACAGGAATAGGTCACTACACTGTTGACTGGACGATAAACACAGCAAACAGTACCAGGGAAATGGTTCTGCCTGTTGACGGTAAGATATAACTCAGCAAACAGTACCAGGGAAATGGTCCTGGCTGGTGACGGGATAATAAACCCGGTATATAAAACTTCATATATTATTATTTTGGTTCAGTGAGAATGTACTAAATTGTAAAGGTACAAAGCGGGACCTGCCCTTTCCAAACCGGTCAGTACCACATCAGGTAGATAGACAAATATAAAAGTATCAACCTGTATAACATTTTTGCATTTCCGATTAGGACGTCTGAAAAACAGAACTTAAAATGTGAAAAAATCGATGGTTCCCGTTTTTTGTGTTATTCCACAATCACAAATAATTTGAAAAAAATAAAGATATATTGTATATATGATTCCTCTGTTTACCTGTTTCACAATTGAATGATAATTCGAAATATCGGCAAATTGTTTTATTGGAATAAACAAGCAAATAAACTCGTGATTCAGATTCAGGAATGTTCCTAATTCATGTAGGGAAAATCGTATGCAAATTTACTGTACTAATGCCAGCCGGGAGTCGAGAGCTAAACATAGACTCAAATAGTAACGGCACAATGACAAAACTTTATGGAACTCCTGCTTTTATAAATATGAAGTGCCACAATCAGAATTAAAGCCTAAATTCAATACCAAGAAGAATAAATTTGTCGATAGCATTGTAACCCCGTCAACAATAGCAATTTGTTTGCAAATAATATCCGTTATGAGGGATAATTATCCACAATGTGTAGTGACTGCCAAAACACTGCTTCAGTAGGACGAAAGCATTAATAAAGCATGGATTATTGTTATTTCAGGGTGGATTTTTAAATATAGTGCCGTTAGTCACATATGAGATTGTATGAAACGGGTGTAAGAAGCTTTTATTTTTTTAGCTTTAGCGAACAACAATCAAAACCTTCGAGAGAAGATTCATAAAATCATTTGTGAAATGAAAACAGATTGAAGATTATTTTCTTTCATATAATATTTACATTTTGACGGTTTTAAAGCAAATATGTAGATGCCAAAATCAAACGATGACAGCTACTTTGCGAGCCATATCTAATCTACTATGTAACGTCATTGTCAATATTATGGAATTTCTATTGATTTCTGACTGTTGAAGGGTTTATACGATAAATGCAAAAAAGTCACCGGATTTCAGGTACGCTATGTGATAGATAGGGTTTCATGGTTTCATTGCGGCATCTTTTCGTTCGAAGTTAGTGAACAAGATATGAAACCATTACCAAGAAACTGTCATTAATTCAGTAGTACATAACTACCAGAAAACCAGTGTTATATGATATCGAAGTCATCAGGAAGAACACACAACAGACACGGTCGAACGCTTTCCCGACGCATTGCCAAGTAACCGCATCGACAGAGAGGGAAGAACCGGTGTCTTCAACTATTTCAACGCCATCATGATCTGTAATTTTAATTTCAGAAACAGCATTTGGTGTTCTAAGATGAACATTGCATGTAGCCGATTTTGCGCAAGTGCAAGCAAATCGTGTCAGTCCAGATATCCATCTTGGTACATGATCCTCAGGAAATCGTAAGTAGAACCGGAGCCCGAATATAGTACATATCATTATCAGAAGACTCTGCCCGATATGGGCTATGAACAAATAACAGAGAAGAGCCATATTAGGCGTTGATGTCTGGGGGAGAATGGTGGTGATTGTGGACAGAAACACGGCCATGGCTAGTAACACGGTAATAGAATAGCCGACACGTTCTCCTGACTCAGCGGGGAGGAGGAACACCATCATGTTGATAAAACTCAAGAAAATGGTAGGCATAATAAAATTCACCATGAAGAACAGAGGTTTCCGTTTAAAAGTGATCCCCATTTTATAACCTAACTTTGGAGATGAAAAGGCTTTCTGAAACGTACTTACAAGATCCCAAGTAGGGTTTTTTGTAAACGTGTTTGTTTCTAATATAGGGTTGGGTACCGTAAGCTGCATGTAATCCCCAGTGTATCCCCATGGCAGTAATTCCAAACTGCAGGATTGTTCGTCGTTAGGGTAATACATCACATCAGCGTCACAAGAAGAGGACAGTTTCAGTGGCAGGAACCAGTTAACTTCTCCATGATATTTCAGCTTGAGAGTCATATCGCCGTAACCAATCAGATCGATGTTGTGGTAACTGTTGGAGAGGACAAATGGTGGTGTCCAAATATCCTTCTGTTTAAAATGAGTGATATTCAAGTTGCTGTAGTTTCTAGGAGTCCATTTTAATCGTTCATCAAACCAGGTTACAGTTAAAACCCCAGTAATGGTAAATACACTTGCTAGCTCATCAAATTCTTGGATTTTAAATAAATCGAAGCCAACATTCACATTCAGTTTTTGTGTACCGTAGTTTTGCCCTGGGTGAACGCTGGGGTTGTATCCGTTAAGAAGTGCAACGTTAAGTGCAGTCTTGTAGGTAAAGTTACCGTAACTTACTCTACTACAGGCGCTGTTTAACAGGGTTATCATCATAAACAGCAGACTTCCACGGACGTTTTCCATCTTCCCCGTCGAATAGTGTCCGTGGTAGAATTGGATGATTTTCTCTGGTAGTACCGCCAAGTGTTCTGTGTACAGGGCAGGTTATCCTGTCCCTTAAATAACTCCGCCAGATAAGACAAAGTACACATATGTTGACCAAATATATCAACAATTCGTTCAATATTGCTCCATGGATACACAGTCAACAGTGATGCAGATTTTTATTATAATTTTGAATCAAACGTTGTCGATTGATTCCAGTGATTTTTGCCTTGATTACATCATTCACATACAGCATATAACCCGCAGTTCCTAATGATTATTTCTCCAGCAATTTGAATATTACTCCCTAGAGATGTTTATCCAAGATTTATCATTTGATGTTAATGGTCATAAAGCTAAAACAAAAAAAGTGTTTGCGTACAGAATGTGGATGTAAAATTGATATGGAACCACGTTGGAAATCACGGCCAGTGAGAGCATTTCGTGTAGCTGTCGTGTAGTTACCACTGATTGTGCTTATGAAAGTATAGAAGAAAAAAGGCTGGAAAATGATGACTTTTCTTGTAACGAAAAAAGAGATAGCTGCTGCAAAATCCATTGTAATTCAAACTTACATACAGCAACAACATGAGAGACATGTTAATGATTTTTATCCAGTAACGAGGGTAAAACACAATTATCAAAATAATTCAGAAAGACTTCTGGTGTTACGCTATAATACTATCTATCATTTATATCCAACTTAAACAAATAATAATCTAACGAAAACTTGATAAAAAGAAATTATAAATAATATATTATAGTGCTAATTTCATGCATTGAATTTCATTTCGCTACTACGGTCTAAATTTGTAACATTTATGGTCAGTATCTACTGTTCTTCCCAAAATTATTTTTCTATAAGTCACATTCGACTTGGTTTTTAAAACTTAAGTATTTTAATCTATTGACCACGAGATGGACCGGCACAGCCCCTTGATCAGCATGCTGCGTCTCGGCATCAAGAATCGCGGGGTCGTAACGATTTCGTGATGCCTTCGTCCAGTAGATGGCGTGGGAATAATTGGAGGCCCTCATCGCAATCAAGAGGAAGAGGTACGGACTATCTCGGCGATTCGGCCGGGCGAGGCTCGCGTAATCAACGAGGTAGATAGGAAATCGGGGAGAGTGTGACAATTATATCGTGGAACGTATGTAGATCGCTCAAGGAAAAATTGACTGAAAGTAGTTTTTTGGATATTATTTGTAGTCATGATATAATTTGTCTTCATGAATGCTGGATAAAAGAAGATGACGACATACAGTTACCTAATTATACAACACACGTTGTACCTAGAATAGAAAGTAAAGGTGGGGGCATTGTAATATTTTATAAGAATGATTTAAAACCCCATTGTACTATTGTCAAAAATGTAACCGAAAGTATAGTAATAATGAAATTATCGCAATGTTTGTCATTTGATGGTAAAGACACGTATATTTTTGTAAATTATTTCCCACCGATCAATAGCACTTACTATGATACACATGAAGTAGATCTCTTTAGTATGTTAGAAGACAGTATATCGTCATATTCAAATAATAATACTAATCATATATTAGCCATTGGTGATTTTAATGGCCGTACAGGTGAATTAGACGATTTTATTGCTGCTGACCATCTTGGTAATGTTGCAAGCAATTTACTCTCAAATAATATTACTTACCTGTCTGACAATGAACTATGTAAACGTAACAGTATGGACCCTACAGTTAATCAATTTGGTAGATACTTAATTACCTTATGCAAAACCACTGGTTTACGTATAGTAAATGGGCGTCATTTAGATGACCCTCCAGGTAATATCACGTTTTATAGCGCGAGAGGTTCGAGTCTGATTGACTATGTTTTAACCTATTGAGAATATTGAAAGCTTTCAAACTGGTGTGTTCAATACGTATTCTGACCACTGTCCGGTTAGTTTCTCTATCAGAGTAAGAAAACGGAAGTTGGAAAATGACGATTGTCATAGGAGATCGGATTTGGGTGTGAAAGTTGAGAATATTAAGTGGAAGGAGGAAAATGTTGATGAAGTTGTAAAAACAGTAGAAAACAGTATTCACGACTTATTAAATATTTGTGTCAATGTTGATCCCAGTCGAGAAAGTGTAAATAGCTCCGTTGATGAATTTTCAAACTTGTTAAATAGTTTAATTAAACCTTTTTGTACATGTACGGTTAGTAAAAATCCTAGTGATGTAAATAATTTTTTATTGAAAGAAGACAAACCATGGTTTAATAATACATGTAAAAGATTGCACAGAGATTATAAAAATGCTTTGCATGTTTTTAATAATAATAAGAACGACGAGAATCGACAAAGTTTAATTATAAAGAAAAAGAGGTATAAAAAGCAAGAGTATAAACTCAAAAAGGAATACAAATGCCACCAGGGTAACATGTTGAATTATATGAGAAAGCATAATCCAAAGAGTTTTTATACACATTTCAGAAAACGTAATAAAATTACTAACTGTGATTTAAGTGAACTAGATTTTTTTACTCATTTTCAGACATTGGCCTCAACTGTACCAAGTATGAATGAGGACGTTATAGACTTTATACAAGATCATGACGATATGGTTCCTAGTGTATTATTTGAAGAGTTGGATGTAGATATAACAGAGTGTGAAATATTAAGTGCAATTAGAAAATTAAATACGAATAAGGCATGTGGTCCAGATGGGATTTTGAATGAATTTTTAATCAATTGTAAATCCGTGCTAATGCCTTGCTTTATCAGTTTATTCAACAGTATACTTAAATATGGACATTTTCCAGAAAGTTGGTCAAAAGGTAATATTGTTCCTGTATTCAAAAAGGGGGATGCTAATGATGTAAATAATTATAGGGGAATTACTATTGTCAGTTGTCTGGGGAAACTATCTACGTCTATAATTAATAATAGACTGGTACGTTTGACTTAAAATATAGTAAAATTACCGATGCTCAATTTGGCTTCAAGCAGAATCACTCCACTGTTGATGCTATTTTTGCATTACAATCAATAATTAATCGTACTTTGAGAAATAAGAAAAGATTGTACTGCTGCTTTGTAGATTATACTAAAGCGTTTGATTTCGTTAATCGTCAGAATCTTTGGTATAAATTAATAAAGGAAGGCATTGATGGAAAATTATTAAAGTTAATAAGATCGTTGTATAGTAGAGTTAAATGTTGTGTGAAGCATAATGGCTCATTATCTAATTACTTTGATTGTGAAAACGGATTGTTCCAAGGGGAAATCTTATCACCTATATTGTTTTCTCTTTATGTAAATGATTGCGAAATGCATTTTTTAACTGACAACTGTCCTTCCATTGAAATACAGACCTTAAATTTATTTCTATTAATGTATGCAGATGACATGGTGATATTTTCGGAGACGCCGAAAGGGTTACAAGATATGCTTAATTCTTTAAATACGTATACAAAAAAATGGGATTTAACTGTTAATTCAAGTAAAACAAAAATCATGGTTTTTAGAAATGGTGGCATTCTGAGAAATGACGAGATTTGGAACTATGACGGTTGTCAATTAGAAATTGTAAATGAATTTACCTGTTTGGGTCTGTTAATTAATTACAATGGAACTTTTAGAAAAACACAACAAAAAATTGCAGAGCAAGGACGCAAAGCTTTATTTGCAGTTACAGAAGTATTTTAATATTGAAACCCAATTGTCCGTCTTTGATACATACGTTAATAGTATTTTGAGTTATGGGTCAGAAATAAAGGGTTTTCATAAGGCACCTGATGTTGAAAAAATTCACATGATGTTTTGTAAAAGACTTTTAGGTGTGCGGAAAAATACTTGTAATAATATGGTTTATTTGGAACTTGGTAGGTTCCCACTGATGGTATCTAGAAAATTGCGTATAATTAAGTACTGGATGAAATTGGAAAAGACCGAAAATTGTATATTGAAATCATGCTACGATGATATGTTGGAGAAGAAAGACAAATGGGTTTTAAATATAAAAAATGAGCTGTATCATCTAGGTTTAGGTTATATTTGGGAGTCAGAAAACAATACGGATGTTCATTATAATATAATCAGAGAAAGAATGTTAGATATGTTTAGACAAGATTGTAAAGAAAAAATCAGAACTTCCTCGAAAGGACAAATTTATACTCATCTTTATCATGATAATGATTTACAAAGCTATCTAAAAAAATCAATACCTAGGGAATTGTTGAGAGAAATTACAAAAATAAGACTATCTTCTCATAATCTAAAAGTAGAAAAAGGCCGATATCAAAATATATCAAGAAATTTAAGAATATGTTCTAATTGTGATTTGAATGATATCGAAGACGAATTCCATTTTATATTGAAATGTCCCTGTTATTCGAACCTCAGAAGAAAATTTTTGAAAAGATACTATTATAAAAACCTAGTATGTTTAAATTGATAGAATTCTTAAATGCAAACAATACAAAAGAAATAACAAACTTGTCTAAATATATTAAGGCAGCCTACATTTTAAGAGAAAACCGCAATTGATAGCCTAGTTTACTCTCTCCGGGTTTGTGTTGTTTCTGTGTTTTTTGTATATTGTTATATGTTTGTAAATCGTCTATGTGTTGTTTGCTTTAACCAATGAGTCACACGACTCAAGGTAATAAAGAACTTGAACTATTGTCCATCCTATTGTTCACCCCGGATGTTCATTTTCATTATTCTGTGATTTTTGTCACCGTGACCTCATTTTGCAAACTTCAAGTTCAGGATCTCTTCTTCATCTAAAATATCAATTTTCAATGTGATGATTCTTCCTAAAGTAGGTCACATTGACCTAATGTTGAGAAAAAACAATCAATTTTGACATCTTTTTCTCATTTTGAATGTCAGTTTCATGGCCAAATTCAATTTTTAAGAGAAGGTCACAGTGCCTTTATTTATCATGTTCGCCATGACGTCCATTTTCATTGCCCACATAACATTTGTAGTAAAATAATCTCAGTGGTCTAATTA